AGATGGATACGTAGTTGGAAGATGAAGACCCTTCGCTGGATGTTGCACCTTCACAAGTCGTCCGCCAGTGACGAACAACATTCATCGTCCGATTATTGTCGCTCGAGTAGTCCACCTTGACACGAGGCTTGATTGCTGCACTCCGCACTACTGAAATCCATGTGTCATCCGCTACTCACGGTGGGAGTTGTTGCCTCCCGAATTAATGTTGTGTGTGGAGGTATAAAATCGAGGGGATGGAAAATTGAAGGAGGAGAAATTGAGAGAAGGAATTAGTGGTTTTAGTGTCTGCAATCTTGAGAAGAAAAAGATGGAGAAATTAAAGGAGGGGGAGGAAGATCAATTAATTTGATCGTATATTATTATCAAAATAAGATTAACGTATTTTTGTACTTATTTTCTACTTAAAGGGTTATTATGTACGACTATGTGGTATAATTGGCATTAAAAAATTAAGGAGTAATTAAGGACATAAGATGCTTAGTAAGATTGCATGAGGTAATTTTAATGAACATATTCATTGTTATTAGGTGAAATTAAATAAACCCTAGTCATGTAATTTTATCTGTTCATACAAGACCGATCTTTGTATTAATTACATGGCACAAAAAACTTACAGAATCCAAGTTTTGTTCCTTCTCTACTCTTGATCTATGTTCGTCTTATTCGCCCTCCCAAATGATGTGTTCGTCTTTACTTATGAATTGTTTCTCTCTGCCGCATCTCTCGTATCTTCATAAAGTTCTTGATGCTGGAAACATTATTTAGAAATGAGCTGAGAGAGGGGCGTATAGTAGTATTTATAGGAGGAAACCTACAATCACAAGCCTACTACCATTCACAAATTGGGTTCTTTAATATTAGAGCATTTAATAATTCATTAAATACATATTTACTTAAACTAAGTTTTATTATTATTCAATTAGGTCCAACTATCTATATCATAGATTATAAAACATTCTTTCATTTTCCCACCTGGACCTAAGTGTTGAAACCCAATGAATTACTTTAAGCGGGTACTTTTAATCAAACTTATGATTGAATGCATGTATCTATACGTTTAAAATAAGACTAGAAATTAATTGAGTCATGGCAGTTACACATCCCCGAGTGACATGATCCCTTCTATGTACCATAAATCATTTCTAATTAAACTTTACTTTAATATGGAACAAACTGCTCGTACCATAACCATAAGTCATCCAACTTTTATATATATACTATGAAATCAAATGCTCATAATGATGATATTATATATGAAGAACTAAACGTTATTAATTGAATTCAATTAGTGTCAAAATCATTAAATTGAACAATTACATTCAGTACCAGTCAGTACTCCAATTAGTGTCAAAATAAAAATAAAAAAATGCTGATTGTCGAAGAGAATTATAAAAGCATGACAATATTAAAAATCATTTAAATAAAAGGACATGCGTCTGATTTTCTAAAGTCATCGTCTAAATTAACATTAATATCCAACAAACCCAAAAACAGTTTTCCTCAAAATGCAAGCCGCATCATCATAATTATGGCACTACTTTTTTTAAAGAAAATTGATTAATTCAATTTTACTCAACATTTACAAAAAGTAGTAACGGACCTAGAGGACGATAGTACCACTTTTGTATTGCAGTAGTACCTGATATTGAGTCTTTAATACTACTTGTAATGAACACATAAAAACACCGAATTTCGGCCTCGAATGATGTTTACATGACCCATAATCACTCTCACATTGGTTTATATGAGATTTAAAATGTTTTTAGTTGAGTTTAATCCTAAAATTGTCATGAACTCGATTCACTAATGAGAAAACACTACTAATACACTTCATTTTATAGAATGACACACTTCATCTCATAGAATCATCACACATGACTACTCCAAATTCTACATATTTGTTTTAGCTTCAACTATTTTTCATCCAAATCAAACTATAACGATCCACGAGAAAAGGTAGACATGAAAGATTAAAAAAATACGATTCCTAAACTAGTACTAGTTTTTGCCATAATAGTACCACATATTTTTCTACGTAGTAGACCAGTTTTTGGGCGATTAGTACCTACTTTTTTGAAAGAAAATTGATTAATTCAATTTTACTCAACATTTACAAAAAGTAGTACCGGACCTAGAGGAGGATAGTACCACTTTTGTATTACAGTACTACCTGATATTGGGTCTCGAATGAACACATAAAAACACCGAATTTCGGTCTCGAATGATATTTACATGACCCATAATCACTCTCACATTGCTTATATGAGATTTAAAATGTTTTTAGTTGAGTTTAATCCTAAAATTGTCATGAACTCGACACACTAATGAGAAAACACTAATAATACACTTCATTTCATTGAGAGACACACTTCATCTCATAGAATAATCACACATGACTACTCCAAATTCTACATATTTGTTTTAACCTCTACTATTTTTCATCCAAATCATACTATAACGATCCACGTGAAAAGGTAGACATGAAAGATTAAAAAAAATACGATTCCTAAACTAGTACCAGTTTTTGCCATAATAGTCCCACATATTGTTCTACGTAGTACCAGTTTTTGCGCGATTAGTACCTACTTTTTTGAAAGAAAAATGATTAATTCAATTTTACTCAACATTTACAAAAAGTAGTACCGGACCTAGAGGAGGGTAGTCCCACTTTTGTATTGCAGTACTACCTGATATTGGGTCTTTAATACTATTTGTAATGAACACATAAAAACACCGAATTTCGGCCTCGAAGGATGTTTTCATGACCCATAATCACTCTCACATTGGTTTACATGAGATTTAAAATATCTTTAGTTGAGTTTAATCCTAAAATTGTCATGAACTCAATACACTAATGAGAAAACACTACTAACACACTTCATTTCATTGAATGACACACTTCATCTCATAGAATCATCACACATGACTACTCCAAATTCTACATATTTGTTTTAATTTCAACTATTTTTCATCAAAATCAAACTATAACGATCCACGTGAAAAGGTAGACATGAAAGATTAAAAAAATACGATTCCTAAACTAGTACCAGATTTTTTGCCTTAATAGTACCACATATTAAGGATGATCTTTATTTAAAAAAATTAAAAGACAAATTAGTTTCAATAAAATGAAAATTACCTAAAAATAAAATCAAAATATTTATAAATTTCAAAATTGAAGCTCTATTGATTTCATGACCACTTGTTAAGTAAACTTAATTAAACATATTCAAATACTCATAGAAACTAATGTATAAGTGCTTTTGTAATGTAAAGTTGTAAACATCATTTAAGATCGAAATTTGATGTTTTTTTATGTTCATTGGAATTGGTACCGAATGCGCGATATTGAGTACTAAACTACCATTTAATGGGTACTGTCTAACTCTAGGAGTGGTACTACTTTTACAAACATTGACCAAAGTTAAAGTAATTCATATTGGTTGACCAAAGTAGGTTTTCCTTTTTCTTAATTTACCATGTACTGTTCTTATTTTTTCTTATTTAATTCATATAATAATTGTTATAAATATGTATTCTATTTATTTTTAAATATTTATAATTTATTTATTTATATTTAATTTCTTGTATATCATATCTCAAAATAATCATATTTTAACGATGTTTGATTTGCCATATTGCATATATAAAATAAAAAATAATTACATCTATCATTATAATAAAATTAAATTTATTAAGAAAATATTTAAAAATATAAATACAATATAAATTATTTTGTAATAGATGTAATAAAAATTAATTCAGTAATACACCATAAAATAACTATTTTATTACGTCTTTTTTATAATTTTTAGATAAAAAAATTAAGTAAAAAAATACGGGCCCATTTTAAATTAATTACTACATTGTTAGTTATTCATTATTTTTTTCATATTCATTATACAAAATTTACAATAAAAAATTAAGTCATTTTAATTTTTCTATTGTATAAATATCAATATATTAAGTACCCATGTAGTACACTGAGTATCGTATTAGTTGATATATATTCCTTTTGAAAATTAGATAAATCTTTGAATAAATATTTTTTTAAAAAATTTTAAAATTTATAATTTAATTCTAGAGAATTAGTTGATAAATTGGAACGACTGAGTAACATACAAC